TTTGTATGTATATGATCATCTTATCTGCAAAGAACGATAATTTTAATTCTTCCCTTACAATTTAAATGCATTTTTTTCCTTCTTCCTGACTGACTGCTTTTGCTAGTACTTCTAGTACTATGTTGGAAATATGTGGTGAAAGTAGGCATCTTCACCTTTTACCAAATCTTAGAGGAAAAGCTTTCAGCTTGCCAGTTAATTATAAAATTACCTCTAAGGTTTTCATATAAGGCTGTCTTAGTCTGTTTTGTATTGCTATAACAAAATACTGGAGACTGAGTAATTTATAAAGAAAAGAAATTTACTTAACATAGTTCTGGAGGCTGAACATCTGATATCAAGATATCAGCATCAGCACCATAGAAGATAGTAACAGGGTAAGAGGAAAAAAGAGCAGGGCAGGGGATGCAAAAGAAGGAGCTGAACTTATCCTTTTCTAAGGAACTCACTCCCAAGACAATGGTATTGATCCACTCAACAGGTCAGAGCCCTCATGGCCTAATCACGTCTTAAACTGTCACAGCAAAATTAAATTTCAAAATGTGTTTTGGAGGAGAAGAACATTAAAATCACAGTAATAGCCTTTATTGTATTGAAAGAATTTCCTTCAATACTTATTATGTTTAGGATTTTTTAACAAAAGGATATTAAACTTTTTCAAGCATTTTCCTTGCCTCTGTTGAGATAGTCATGTGGTTTTTATCTTTCACTATATTGATGTGGTATATCACATTTATTGATTTTCAAATGTTTAACCATACTTGGATTCCTGGGATAAATCCCACTAGATCTTGGTATACAATTCTATTGATGTATTGATGACTTTTGTTTGTCATATTCCAGCGAGGATTTTTACATTTATACTCATCAGGAACACTGGCCTATAGTTTTCTTTTCTTGTGTCATTTTTGTCTGAACTAAGAATCAGGGTGATGGTGGCCTCATAATATGATTATGAGAGTTTTAAGAGAATAAATTATTTTTTCTACTCTTGCAACAGAGTAACAATCTCATAAATAAATTTAAATGTATTTCCCCACACTGACCATTTTCTCTGACACCAGCTGGTGTCCTATAATTCAATTCAATTCTGACATCTACCTGGTCCCGCAGGTTAAGAGTTCAGTCCTATGAGACTGCCCCTGCACTTGTGACTACCAATCCCAAGTCCCAGGTTCTTACCTACTTTGAACAAACTAGCTATAAACCAGGGGTTCTCACAACTCCCTCCTCAAATTTGATTAATTTGCTAAAGAGGCTAAAAGAAATCAAGGAAACACTTTATTTACTATTGCTGATGTATTACAAAAGAAATGGTAAAAGATACAACAGCCAGATGGAAAAGACAATCAATTCAACCACTTCATTTTTTATGAAAGAATAAGAAATATATACAGTATATTAGTTTCTGCCCTAGTTCCTGATATAGCTCTTAAAACTCTTTAGATGAAAGTACTATGAAAATCTTTTGTCCTAATATTTGGTCTTTAACTGAAGATTCTAACACAGCTTCTAAGATCTTTGAAATTTGCTGAGTGATAGAAGTGTCTGGCATAGAGCTCCTAACTCCCTTATAATTTGCTAGATGATAGAAGCATCTTCTGTTCATGGTCTCCTGGGTAGCCTCAGGATAGGTGCTCAAGTCAGGTGCTTCTTACTGATTTTCTACCTAGATGTCCTATCCATTACTGAAAATGGGATATTGGAGTCTGCTACAGCTATCATATTGCTATCAATTACTCCCTAGAGATCTCTCAATATTTACTTCATACATACCTAATGATCAGTTCAAATTATATATAATTATTATATCTTGCTACTGAATTGATCCTTTTCTCAACATTTAATGACCTTCGTTTTCTCTAGGAAAAGTTCTGGACTTCAAATCTATTTTGTCTAATATTACCATAGCCATATCTGCCTTCTTTTGGTTATGATTTCCATGGAGTATTTTTTTAATTCCTTCACATTTAGTCTGTTTGACGCTCTTGTAGATAGCAAATGGCTGAGTATTGTTTCTTTTATTAATTCAGCCACTCTATACCTTTTGATTGGGGAATTTAATATCTTTATACTTAAAATCATTACTGGTAGTTTAAGAACTTATTATTGTCATTGTCTTTATTTCTGTTTTGCTAGATTTTTATTTCCTCTCTTCTTCTATTACTTTCTCTGTTATTTGATTGATTTGACTTCATTCCCTTTACTTTTTGTGTATTTACAATAAATTTCATGTTTGTGGTTAGAATCATCTTTTTTATTTCAAAAAATATAGGGAGCACAAGCGTTTTTTATTACCTATATTAATTGGATCATACTGAAGTCAGAGCTTTCAGTGTACCCATAACCTAATAGTATATTAACATATTGTACATGAAAGGGAGATTTTCTTTCCCTGTCTTTCCTACATCCTCCCCCATTCTTAGTTTTCAATATCCATTATACTTGTTATAACCATACACTATATACCTTATTTAGCTCTTACTTATAAGTGGGAGCAAGCAGTATTTGTTTTTCCATTCCTGAAATATTTCACTTAGGATAATGGTCTCCAGTTCCATCTGTTACCACCAAATACATTGTATTTCCTTCTTTCTTGTGGCATGTGTATGTCTGTGCATATATATACACACACAAATATACAGACACATATATATACACAATACACACACACACATTTTCCTAATCCACTCATCACTTGATAGGCACTTGGGATGGTTCCGTATCTTTCCATTTGTGAACTGTGTAGCAAAACATTCAGGTACAGGTGCCTATTTGGTACAATGACTTATTTTCCTTTGGGTAGATACCTAATAGTGAGATTGCTAAATCAAATGGTGGGTCTACATTTAGTTCTTGCAGGAATCTCCATATTGTTTTCCACAGTAGTTTTACTAACAGTTGATGAACATTCCCTTTGCACTGCACCCACACCAACATCTATTGTCTTTTGACTTTTTAAAAATGATCATTCTGACAGGGGTATGGTAATATCTCATTGTAGTTTTGATTTGCATTTCCCTACTAATTAGTGATGTTGGGCATTTTTTCATATGTTCTGCCCCAATAATCTATACAGTTCTGTCAGTGGAGTATTGAAGTCCCTGGCTTTTACGATCCTGATGTTTATTTCTTTGTTTCGATCTAGTAGAATATGTTTTACGAATCTGGGAGCTGTGTGTTAGATGCAAATATATATTTAGGATTGTTGTATCTTCTTGCTGAATTGTTCTCTTTATTATCATATAATGACCAGCTTTGTTTTTTTACCACTGTTGATTTAAAGTTTATTTTATCTGAGATGAGAATAGCTATTTCTGCTTGCTTTTGGTCTCAACTCACATAGAATACCTTTTTCTATCCCCGGTAATCCCAGGATGATGACTGTGACTACATCTAGAAAACAACCAGCCTAGATATTTTTGAAGTACAGTTTCCCTTTGATCCTCTGATAGAGTGCAGCAGCAGCATCACGCTCACCATAACCTCAAACTCTTGGGCTCAAGCAATCTTCTTGCCTCAGCCTCCCAAGTAGCTGAGCCAACTAGCCATGTCTGGCTAGTTCTTCCAATTTTTGAAAAGATGGGATCTCATTCTTGCTCAGGCTGGTCTTAAACCCGTGCCCAAGTGATCCTCCCATCATGGCCCTCCAAAGTAATAGGATTACAGGTGTGAGTCACTGTACCCAGCCATGGTCTAGACTTCATCTTCAACCTATTGGGGTTCTATGAGATTGAATCTCTTTCCCTTTCCAGATTTGAAAAGGGTTTGTTATTATTTCTTTTTTTTGAAAGCTTTAAGCCCCTTTAAATCTCTTTGGGTTCTCTGATTCTTCTGCTTGACTATCTGCTGTTGAAGCTTTCACTACATTTTTTAAGTTATATTCCTCAGCTTATTGTACAATTTTCTGGATTTTATAAAATTATCTATCTGTACTCTCTTATACCTTATTTACCTTCTATTAAACAGGTTGTTTTGAATAGTTTCTCAAGTAATGCATAGATCTATTTGGGTGGTTTACTGGAAATACATTGTGTTACATAGATGGTTTCATGCTTTTCTAATTTTTCATGCTCCTTATAGCCTTGCATTGCTGTCTACACATTAGAAGGAGTCACCTTGTCCAGACTTTACGGGTAAGGAAAAGCAATCACTTGGATGGGGTCACCAATCTGGAGAGAATGCAGGAATTGCAAATTATTGTACTGGGCCTAGTAGCATGCAGGGTGCCAAGCACAAGGAAGTGTGATAGTTCCAGGTCTAAAGGTGTGAAATGACATGGCAACTCATGGAGCTGAGACTGACAAAATCAGTAACTGTGTGGTCCTTGGACACAGAAGCTGCAACATTTCTGCAGCAGCCACGAAGGCTGCTGAGATATTCAGTAGTGACTCTCTGTTGAGGAGTGAAGATGGGTGGGAGCCAAGGCAGGTGGCAGCAGGGGCTGGGGGAAGTCTGGCTACACACACACATGTGGCAATTAGGAACAGCACCAGTTGCAGCTGTGTGCTCATGTGGCTATTGGGCTGGCAACATATGGACGTGCACTAACAACAACTGTGGGCCACAGCGGTAGTTTGCACCCTGGCCAGAGATACGCTGGTCATAACCACACATATAGTATTAAAAGCCAGAACCAACAACAAACAAGAGTTGCCCACCGGCAGACACACACTAAAACCTGACAATCTTAAATTCAAAACCATCCTACCAGGTCATTCCACACTTTAGATAAGCCTCCCTGAGGAAACCCTTCAACAAAAATGGCAAAAGACAAAGCACAGCTTCAGTAATCCACGCCAACCCTGAAAAATATCAATTTACTAGATCATTTGGGAATGACAAAGTCTGTAATTCAATAGAAAGACATGCCTTATTTCCTAGCAAATTTAATTTTGTTTTTTCAGCTTCGCTCAGATCAGCTGAAAAAGTCTATTTGAAAACAAGCCTACAAATTTGACTATCATAATTTCTAAAAATCAAAAAAAGAAAAAACTCACCCTTTCCAACAATTTCTGAAGCTTTAAGGTTTTCTCTTCACGTAACTTTTCCCGTAGCTGCTGTGCTTTCATTTGTTTTTCTTCATGTTTCTTCTTAGATTCTGCAATTGTTCTGTTAATACAGACAAGTGAACAAGAACACAAACATTTACATGAGTAGGCCAAGACAGTTCTCTTTAGATTCTGAAATTCTTAAAATATACTAACTAATTTTGGCCCAATATTTCAGGAAAGCATTGTCACTTTTCAATGAATCTGAAACTGTCCTGCAGTAATATGCCTAAACAGATCTATTTAGTAGTCAAGAGTGGCTAGTTTCCCTCCTGTAAAACATTTCAAACTAATTTCCAAAGGCCAGACCTTTTCCGTGATGGTGAAGAAAGTTTTTCATGCATGTGAATTCCATGCCCAGGAGGTCTAGCAGGTTCCTCTTCTACAATATCCCCCCAAGATGTATTTTGGCGCCAAGATTCACGAGCTATTCAAATGAAAGAAAAGCACTGTGATTGTTCAAGCACATAGTTCCTCTACAAAATCAACACTGAAGAACAAATTTCTAAATGGCAACAGCATTATCACTGCAAATTATTTTACATATAAAATATCTATAAAACATGATTATTTATTTTATCCCACTGTTACTACACTCCAAATACATACACACACAAACACAATACCTTCATAATCTGCAAGGACATCATTCCAGTCCATAGACATACCACAGAAAGATACACTCCCACTGCCCAAGCTGGCCTAAAATGTAATAAGGGAAATGAAAAAATGAATCTCTGAACACAATTATAACCTTAAAAATGAATTATACATGAAATTTTCATACCTGTTAATGAATTTCATTTAATGAACAGTTGAAAACAAGAAAAAAGCTACAGATCTTGTAGAATCACAATAATTGTCAAATTAAAATGCCATAACCTATACATTTTAATACCCTCTAGCCATTAAGAATAGAGACTAATGGAATAAATTTAGAAAGAAATATACTAGACTTACATAATTACCACACAAACACTAACACATACAAAGCACATATTAAAAAGGTAAAGAAAAAAATAAAAAATAAAGAGGTAAAGATTATTTGTTGGGCATTAAAATTTAATACAATAATATGTAAAACAATATGTAAAACATCTACAATATGTAAAACATAAAGAAAATATTTATATTCTTTAACAAATTCCCATCATGAACATAAATATCCTGAGCACTTAGTAACAGAAGGCAGTGTAGCATTTGCTTTTTGTTAACAAAATTCAAAAAGTAAAATACCTTAGATTCTCCTTCAGTCTCTAGCAATTATAACCTGAGTAATGTTGAATTCTTAATTTCTGTGAGACTCAATTTCTTGACTGGTAAAATGAGATTAACAACTTCCAACTTGTCAATTGCATCATATATGGAAATACTTAATGGTAAAGTGCTACAAAAAGATTTTGTATTGTTATCATGTACATCCAAATCATCCCAAGAATAATGATGATAACTAAGAATGATTTTTAAATAAATAACGTTAGATAGGTCTAGATGGGATTCTAAGTCGTTCTGGCCTAATAATTTCACTTCTAAACATAAGTTTTAAACAATTACATTACAAATTCTAAAGGCTCACAGAGAAATCACTGTCGTTGTCAGTTTCAATGTTGATATCGTTGTTTTCTTCAGCTTCAATTTCTCTAGTTAACTGTTCTTCTTCAGCAATAGCACTGGCAATGGCTTCTTCATTGGCCTTTTCTAAACGATCTGCTAGCTCTTCCTTTTTAGCAAGGACTTCTGCCATGGACTATATAGTTAAAAAAGAATAATAAGAAAAATCATCACTGGACTGGAAAGTTAAGTAATCATTTCTTATGTTTAAAACATGAACTCAATGATATACTTAAAACAGCATAGGTCTAGAACTGCAGTCCAATAAAGGCACAACCATTTACTAGTTGTATGACTTAGAAATTTCTCAAAACCAAGAACCTATTTGGTATTCCATAAAATGGAACATTAATCCATAACTTACCTTTTTTACCAGACTGCTATGTATGAGAAACTGTGAAGTTACATAAATAATAGGTATTATTAATGATAAAATATAAATTTCATTTGAGTGCCAAGTTCAAAACATTACAGATCAAATATACTCACAAAATATAAAACCAAAATAGTATACTAAAATGGGTAGATGGAAAGAATGTATACTGTAAAGGTAATGATACTTTCTTAACATATATATCTAACTTACTAAAAGTAATACAAACAATATGCATGAGAATCATTAATAAGCCCCATGAGAAGCTAAATATGTACACTATAAATTCTAAATTAAACACTGCAATAAAAAATAATTATGAATTATAGCAAGAGCCAACAAAAGAGATAAAGTGAAATTATTAAAAACAAAAGAGGGAATGAAGAACAAGTGGGTGAGAGAGAAAAGAACGGTATGACAGCAGATTTAAAGATACCTTGCCAATAATCGCATTTTATGTAAACAGTCTAAACACCCCGATTAATAGACAGATATTGTCAAACTGGATCAAAAACAAGACCAGTCATGTCCTCCTCCTTGTAAGAAATCTCATTTAAATATAAGAATACAAACAGGGTGGCACCTGTGGCTCAAAGGAGTAGGGTGCCGGCCCCATATACCAGAGGCGGTGGGTTTAAACACAGCCCCAGCCAAAAACTGGAAAAAAAAAAAAAAGAATACAAACAGATTACAAGTAAAAGATTTACATTAATCAATAGAAAGTTGAAGTATTAACATCAAGCACAGATTTCAGGGCAAAAAACCCCCCAGCTATACAAAAAGTTGTTTCATAATAGTAAAAGGGTCAATTCATCAAGAAGACAAAACAATCCTAAATGTTTATGGGCCTTCAAAATACATGAAGCAAAAACTGATAGGATTGCCAAAGAAAATAAACATAATGACAATGCAAAATGGTGTTACCACTTTGGAAAACAGTCTGAAAGTTCCTCAAAAGGCAAAACAGACTTTATGTAACCAAGCAATTCCACTCCCAAATATATATCCAGAAGAAACAAAAACGTATCCACACAAAAACTTGCATGTGAATACCTAAAACAGCATTATTCATAACAGCCAAACAGTGGGACGAACCTAAATATCCATCAAATGAGGCATAAACAAAATGTGGTATATCCAGTGAAATATACTCATTTGAAGGAATGGAGTACCACAACAAGCTAAAACATGGATGAACCTTTAAAACATGCTAAGTGCAATGACCCAGTCACAAATAACCACATATTTTATTCTATTTCTAGGAAATGCTCCAAATAGGCAAAACTACACAAACAGAAAGCGGATTAGCAGTTGTCTAGAGCTGGAAAGGTGGGAGTGGGGGGAAAGGGACTGACAGCTAATGGGCACTTTTGGGAGTACAAAAGTGTTCTAAAAGTGATTATGGTGGTTCATAGATAGTTGCACAATTCTATGAACAGGCTAAAAAGCCCTTCATAGTAAACTTTAAATAGACGAATTGCATTATGTGTAAATTATACCTAAATAAAATTGGTTTTTTTGCAAAAGAAATAGATTCATAGTTAAATTCAGAGAGCTCAATACCCCTATCTCAACAGAAAAATTAAACAAAAAATTGGTAGGGAACATAAGAGACTTGAATAATATTACCAACAAATCTGATTTAGAGGCTCGGCACCTGTGGCTCAAGTGGCTAAGGCGCCAGCCATGCACACCCAAAGTGGCGGGTTCGAATCCAGCCAGGGCCCGCCAAACAACAATGACAGCTGCAACCAAAAAAAAAAAAAAAATAGCTGGGCATTGTGGCGGGCACCTGTGGTCCCAGCTACTTGGGAGGCTGAGGCAGGAGACTCGCTTGACCCCAGGAGTTGGAGGTTGCTGTGAGCTGTGATGCTACAGCATTCTATCCAGGGGGAACAGCTTGAGGCTCTGTCTCAAAAAAAAAAAAAAATCTGATTTAGATATTTTCCTAAGAGAAATGAAAACATGTTCACATGAATATGTGTACACAAATATTCATGGCATGGTTTATTCATAACAAAAAAAGCTAGAAGTAACTCAAATGTCTGCAGGCACCCGAATGAATAAACATATTGTGTTCCATGCACACAACAGAATGCTAAAAACAATGAAAAGAATGACAATTAAGACGCACAGCAACACAGATGAATCTCAAAGTAAATATGCTTACTGAAAGAAGCCAAGCAAAGATTACAGAATTCAATTTACATAAAATTCTGAAAATGCAGACTAATATATAATGAAATAAAGCAGAACAGAGTTTCCCTGGGATGTGGGTAAAGGGAAGGGCAGGAAGGGAGGGTAAAAAGGGGGAAAGGGAAATCCTTTTGTTAAGAGTAATCAATATGTTTATTATGATGATTATAATGACAGTTTCCTAAGTGTAAACACAGGTCAAAATTTATTAATCTGTATACTTTAAATATGTGCTGTTTACTGAAAACCAATTATAGATTCACTAATGATATTAAAAAGTACAAATGCTTCAACCCCAATTTACATATGTGCTCTGGAGTGGAGACTGAGCATTGGTATTTCTGGAAAGGTTCCCCTCTGCAGACATGCCCTCCAACCCACAACAGACAAATGTTGGCCCTGGGGGATTAAATGGGGTGGAGATGTGTAAAGGAGAGATTATTTCTGTTCATCATGAGCTCTTCTCTGTAAATCCACAAACACTATAGAAATTAACTGTTGTCAACGTGCCACAAAACAATATTCAAAATGTAATTACTATAGTTGAATACATTTAAGTTCACAGAAAGTAAGCTCTTACATGTACTTTCTCTACCTCCTCTCTCAACTGTGTCTTCTCCAGAATATTTAGATTAACTCCTTGAAAACTTGAAAAGATTCTTACCCCATAGTGGAGCTTTATAGTTTAAACAGCGAGTCAATCAACCCTATAAAACTGCAACTATTTCACAGAGTGAAATGCAAATAAATATCTGCATACATCATTATTCTGAACATTTCCAAACTTTCACTAAAAATTGAAAATGTTGGCTCGGCGCCTATAGCTCAACCGGCTAAGGCGCTAGCCACGTACACCTAAGGTGGTGGGTTTGAATCCCC